GGATATGAAGACGATATTTCTTCATGATGATCTTGATGAAGAAATATATATGACTCAATCATTGGAATTCCAAGCTGCAGGAAAGAAAAACCTGCTTTGCAGGTTGAAGAAATCGCTATACGGTTTGAAGCAGTTTCCTCGATAGTGGTATAGGCGATTCGATGGTTTTATGCTTGGTTATTCATACACTCAGAGCCAGTTTGATCCTTGTGTGTATTTTCACAAGTTGAGCATTGGCTATGTTGATTCGGATTATGTCGGAGATTTGGATAAGCGCTGGCCTACTACGGGGTATGTGTTCACTTTGACCCGTGCGCCGGTTTATCGGAGATGCATCTTATAGTCTACGGTGGCTTTGTCTACTATGGAGGAAGAGTATATGGCGATAACAGAGGCTGTGAAGGAGGCTATTTGGCTTCGAGGATTTTTGGAGGAACTTGGTATATCGCAGCGGCCCATCACTATTCATTATGATAGTATGAGTGCTATCTATTTGGTGAAGAATTAGGTTTTTTATGTGAGGACGAAGCACATTAATGTTCGTTATCACTTCGTTCGAGATGTTCTTGAAGATGGCGATGTGGAGATTGTGAAGGTCCACACGAAGGATAATCCGGCGGATATGCTCACTAAGGTGGTTCTGAGCAACAAGTTTGATCATTATCGAAACTTGTTGCACATTCGTGATTGTTGAGGCCGTTGACGGCCATTTGGATGAACTACGAACGGCTTGATGCACATTCGTGATTGTTGAGGCCGTTGACGGCCATTTGGATGAACTACGAACGGCTTGATCCCTTGGGGGGTACGTAGGCAACCATATTGGTGCAGCCGAGTTTGGAAAGACGACGCATTGGTGCTCTTTGTTTGGTGTCGGCTCAGTTTTAAAAAAACTTCACCGAGGTGGAGAATTGAAGAGCTTACAGGAAAAACTACAAAAAAACGAATTGGGCTTCTAGCAGTCGACCGCGAGTGGCGGGACGGTCGACCGTAAATATGCACGATCTAGACTTTTCGCGGTCGACCGCGAGTGGTGCGGCGGTCGACCGCGAGACCCTGTAGTGGATTTATGCTTTCTGTCGTTCTGTCCAGTCGACCGTACATGGCTCTGCGGTCGACTGCGAGTCGGGCTGGGCCTAAATTTGATTTCCTATTCGCATTGGGTTTGTGTTTTAATATAAATTGAAATACGATTTTTTAGGGTTTCTGGTCAAAGATTAGAGATTGTACTGAGCATATTGAGAGGGAGAAATTGTGAGCAAGTTGAGATATTTGGTTTAGGGTTAATTTGTGAGCTTTTTGTGAGATTGTAACCATTTGTACTCTCCTTGATTTAGTGGAATCTCCCCATCCTTTCCCCGTGGACGTAGGCAAATTGCCGGACCACGTATATCTCTGTGTTTGGTTTCATTTGTCGTATTTGGATTGAATTGTGCTCGTGTGTGGTTGGTTCTCTTCTCCCGTAATCACAGATTCGTTCGGTGTGTGAGCACGCTTCCGCATAGGCGCGCAACATATTCCACGATTATCACTTCCGCGCGCTGCATCAGTTTTCAACACGTGATTATACTCTCATCTTACCTTTTTGATAGACTGAATAATCACGATCCCATTCTTAAAGAATTTGCTATTTCTGTGTAGTTTTTCCTTATGATTTTTTATGTAAGCTTTTGCCTCCTATAGCAAGCACTACTAACCGAATGAGATTATTGAATAAAATTGACTAATTTTTATATGTTGACAAGTTTATTTCACGTTTCTAACCGCCTACAGCCGGTTTATATCTACGGACAACAAGTAGTTAAAGCTCGAAAACCTTCAAAAAAAACTTTGGTGAAATATACGAAATGTTTCTGTTATTCCCCTCCCCCAACCTGCACTCCATGCTGTAGTCATTGGACTCGTTCCCTTCCCCACTTAGAAAAGTTCCAAGTCTCCGAGAAGCTTTTAAAAAATGACAAATAATATTCCAACTTCAAATAGTCTTTTCAACCTAAAGGTCTTCCCGAATACCCAAAACAGGATACATACTTACGGACCATGACTGGGTCTCCCTTCAAGTTTTGTTTACAAAACTTTCTTCAGCTCCACCGTTTGCCAACCATTTGTGCTTTAACCCTTTGCACAAGTTTTATATGTATGCTACAAGTGCCTTCGAATTCGTCATACGTAATTCAAATATTGGTGAATCCAAAATTTAAATTCATAGTTTGCATACCAAAATCCATACCCAAAATTAATATAACATGAATCTTGATAATCCTCGTCTAACCAGATAAAACATGACAACTTTGTTAGTAAAAAAAAATATGCTTTTTTTAAGGGAAAACTGGACATGATTGATCCTAGTATAGTTCGCAATATGGGTGTACATTTGTTTGTAATAATACTTCAGAGTATGACTGTGAATTGCAGCTTAATTTGCAACAGGGGATGCAACCATTTTGTTGCAAACAACCATTTTTGGTGAAATGTAACAAGCTAGTGGTTTTGAGTTTGAGACACATCCTTTCTCTCTCAAACGAAAGTCTCCACAATTTGGGTGCAAACATATTATTATTAAGTTTATGCGGTCCTTCGAAAAAGAATTTTAGCCTCTCAAAGGGGATGGAATGAGAATTTGGGAAGGGTCCTTGCAAGAAATTCAACTTAAAGTAATGGTTTGAAACAAATTTATCCACTTCAGTCAAGAACCCTCTCTAAACCTCTTATGACGTGTGAAAAAAGTTCCAAAATGTTTGAAATCATACTCTTAGACTCTATATAATTTCCACCACAATGCTCCGAACTCTCCCATACCCCATCACTATTCATTATGATAGTATGAGTGCTATCTATTTGGTGAAGAATTAGGTTTTTTATGTGAGGACGAAGCACATTAATGTTCGTTATCACTTCGTTCGAGATGTTCTTGAAGATGGCGATGTGGAGATTGTGAAGGTCCACACGAAGGATAATCCGGCGGATATGCTCACTAAGGTGGTTCTGAGCAACAAGTTTGATCATTATCGAAACTTGTTGCACATTCGTGATTGTTGAGGCCGTTGACGGCCATTTGGATGAACTACGAACGGCTTGATCCCTTGGTGCACGAGATCTGGAAAAGTCTTTGGACTTTTCGCGGTCGACCGTGAGTGGTGTAGCGGTCGACCGCGAGACCCTGTAGTGGATTTATGCTTTCTGTCGTTCTGTCCAGTCGACCGTACATGGCTCTGCGGTCGACTGCGAGTCGGGCTGGGCCTAAATTTGATTTCCTATTCGCATTGGGTTTGTGTTTTAATATAAATTGAAATACGATTTTTTAGGGTTTCTGGTCAAAGATTAGAGATTGTACTGAGCATATTGAGAGGGAGAAATTGTGAGCAAGTTGAGATATTTGGTTTAGGGTTAATTTGTGAGCTTTTTGTGAGATTGTAACCATTTGTACTCTCCTTGATTTAGTGGAATCTCCCCATCCTTTCCCCGTGGACGTAGGCAAATTGCCGGACCACGTATATCTCTGTGTTTGGTTTCATTTGTCGTATTTGGATTGAATTGTGCTCGTGTGTGGTTGGTTCTCTTCTCCCGTAATCACAGATTCGTTCGGTGTGTGAGCACGCTTCCGCATAGGCGCGCAACATATTCCACGATTATCACTTCCGCGCGCTGCATCAGTTTTCAACACGTGATTATACTCTCATCTTACCTTTTTGATAGACTGAATAATCACGATCCCATTCTTAAAGAATTTGCTATTTCTGTGTAGTTTTTCCTTATGATTTTTTATGTAAGCTTTTGCCTCCTATAGCAAGCACTACTAACCGAATGAGATTATTGAATAAAATTGACTAATTTTTATATGTTGACAAGTTTATTTCACGTTTCTAACCGCCTACAGCCGGTTTATATCTACGGACAACAAGTAGTTAAAGCTCGAAAACCTTCAAAAAAAACTTTGGTGAAATATACGAAATGTTTCTGTTATTCCCCTCCCCCAACCTGCACTCCATGCTGTAGTCATTGGACTCGTTCCCTTCCCCACTTAGAAAAGTTCCAAGTCTCCGAGAAGCTTTTAAAAAATGACAAATAATATTCCAACTTCAAATAGTCTTTTCAACCTAAAGGTCTTCCCGAATACCCAAAACAGGATACATACTTACGGACCATGACTGGGTCTCCCTTCAAGTTTTGTTTACAAAACTTTCTTCAGCTCCACCGTTTGCCAACCATTTGTGCTTTAACCCTTTGCACAAGTTTTATATGTATGCTACAAGTGCCTTCGAATTCGTCATACGTAATTCAAATATTGGTGAATCCAAAATTTAAATTCATAGTTTGCATACCAAAATCCATACCCAAAATTAATATAACATGAATCTTGATAATCCTCGTCTAACCAGATAAAACATGACAACTTTGTTAGTAAAAAAAAATATGCTTTTTTTAAGGGAAAACTGGACATGATTGATCCTAGTATAGTTCGCAATATGGGTGTACATTTGTTTGTAATAATACTTCAGAGTATGACTGTGAATTGCAGCTTAATTTGCAACAGGGGATGCAACCATTTTGTTGCAAACAACCATTTTTGGTGAAATGTAACAAGCTAGTGGTTTTGAGTTTGAGACACATCCTTTCTCTCTCAAACGAAAGTCTCCACAATTTGGGTGCAAACATATTATTATTAAGTTTATGCGGTCCTTCGAAAAAGAATTTTAGCCTCTCAAAGGGGATGGAATGAGAATTTGGGAAGGGTCCTTGCAAGAAATTCAACTTAAAGTAATGGTTTGAAACAAATTTATCCACTTCAGTCAAGAACCCTCTCTAAACCTCTTATGACGTGTGAAAAAAGTTCCAAAATGTTTGAAATCATACTCTTAGACTCTATATAATTTCCACCACAATGCTCCGAACTCTCCCATACCGAACTCTACAACTATTTCTCCTCAACTTGCACCCTTATATATGTTACAAAATTACTAAATATTAGCTAGAAATTAGCCCAAATTAATACAACATCCATGGACAGAGCCATATCTCAAATCCTTGATGCATGCAAACTCACCCACGAACTCGAAGCAAGCCTCCCACACTTAGCAAACCAGCACCCCTCCCTCCTCAAAACCTCATGCGAAAACATCGTCGCCGCCTTCAACAATGCGATCCATGAGATCAACACTCAACAACAACAAATTCAAGCCATGGATTTCTTCAGTCCAAGATCGATAGAGGAACATAACAATCCTTTTCCTTTAGGATTTGATGCTGGTTGTGAAATGCCATTTCTTGGGGTTAGCGGCGGCGAGGCAGTGGTGGACGGATCGTCAGCCTCGTCAGCCTTTGGCCGAAGACCGGGTGGTGGGTCCACGGGTCAGAGGCAGTCGAGAAAGAGGTATGAATTCAAACTTTAGGACGTTGATATGTTCACATATGGTACATGGAATTTTCCTTGCGTGTGGTCGTGATAATGATGGGGGAAACTGCTAGTGAAAGTGCAAATTAAGCATGTTCACATACTATTAAAACTTAGAACTTTGTATTAACACTCATTAATTAGAACAAAATTTATTCAATACTAATAATTTCAAACCTTTGTATTTGAATTTGAAGGAGGGAGAATAGAGGGATGACGACGGTTAGGGTTCCAGCGGTGCGCACGGGGAACATGGAGAACCCGCCGGATGATGGCTATACATGGAGGAAATATGGGCAAAAGGATATTCTTGGATCAAGATTTCCAAGGTAACTAGTATTGATTTTATTTTATAATAATCTCTCTCATTGTAGGAAAGATTCATAATTTTGAAGGATATGCATGATTCCTATATATCCGTATCGTAAACCCTCTTATGCAGACTAGTAATGATAATTAAATCAGGCTTAGAAAGTTTAACTCTTCTTAAAATTAGGGGTTTCAAAATAATTAAAGTTGGAAATATGCACGCCATCCTTCAACTTAAAAATGATAAAACATATGGACTATATACATAGGATCTAACAATATATATTAAAAATGTTAATCAGTTAACATTTCATGCATGGGGTTTATAAGCAATCAGACTTAATTTTCCCTTGCTATGTAATTAAAATTTTTTTGCTGGTTTTCTATGGAATTAATTGATAGGTGGCATAAATTATTCAAGTTCTTTTAGAAATTTATTTTAAATTAATAATCTTCATCATAGGCTTTATAACACCAACAAAAACTGTTAATATCACAGCAACTATAAGACTAGTACTCTTCACATGCAAAAAAAACCTATATTCAACTTATAAATCATCCATGTGTAAAATTCAAAATACATTCGGAAATGCTTACATAACGCACCACTAATAATTGTTTAAAAATCTAAAATAGGATTATAACAATTTTTCAATATGACATATGGATGTTGTATAATACCATCAACATATAATTAAAGTTGGAAATATGCACGTTATCCTTCTAGTTCAAAATGATACAACGTATAAAAATGTTAATCGATCAGTTAACATTTCTTGCATGGCTTATGAGCAATCAGACTTGATTTCCGGTGCTATATAATTAGTTGATAGGCGGCATAAATTATTCAAATTATTTTGGTAATTTATCTCAAATTAATAATCTTCATCATAGGCTTATAACACCAACAAAAAATGTTGATATCACATGCACTCAAAGACGAGTACTCTTCACATGCAAAAAAAATCCCCTATTTTCACTTTAGAAATTTGTAATTCTCTCAACCATGGATAAAATTCAAAATACATCGGGAAATGCTTACGGTTAGGGGTGAGCACGGTTCGGTTCGGGTCGGTTTTTACCAAAATTTGAACAACCGAACCGAACCACCTATAATTCAAAACCGAACCGAACCGTTGCAAATCGGTTCGGTGCGGTTCGGTTCGGTTCGTTCGGTTCTAAATTTCATCAAGTATAACAATCAAATGCACAAATATTGCTTGTCCCAAGAGATAATTTGTATATATTTGTTTTCATATGCGCCCAAATGCAAATCATTTGAGCCACGGCTAAGATACTTAAGCGTCGTGCACACTTGAATCAACAACTAACCCAAGGGACAACATACACAGAAGTGCTGAATTGAGTGATTAAATGGGGAAAATCTAACTCAAAGGGCACTAACATACTCCAACAAGAAGCGCCCATTCCACCTACTTCATGTTCAATTCAAAGACAACAGAGGAAATTGAAGAAAAATTAATACTACGTACCTTGAGAGTAAGGGTCGGGGTCTTGGAAGAAGAGAGAGCGAGAGAGAGGGATTGAGGCCGAGCGAAATGGGAAATTGGGAATGAGTAGCGGCGACTGGGATTTGGGAATGAGAGGAAATGAAGTTAGGGTTGAGGGTTTGGGATGGGTCGGGTAAACGCGAACGGGTTTGAAAGTTTTGGGAATATATTCGGTCGGTTCGGGTCGGGTCGGTTTGAAAAGTTGTCAACCCGATCCGAACCGCCTTACTCTTAAAACCGCTTTTTTCGGGTCGGTTCGGGTCGGTTCGGTCGGTTTTTTCGGTTTGAACCGAACCATGCTCAGCCCTACTTACGGTAACACACCACTAATCAGTTTTTTTAATCTAAAATAGAATTAAGATTTTTATCAATATGACATATATATGTTAATTAAGTTGCATCATACACCAATCAAATTGAACAGCGATATGTTATCTAATGTCAATATGATCTACAACAAGCAAGAGAGAAACTTACTCAAACCATCAAAGATATATATGCATGCGTGACATCAAATAAAAAACAGTTTTGACATAAAATAAAAAACAATCTCACATCAAAACTTCATCTCTAAAACTTTAACTAATCAATCCTTGCCCGTTTCCCCACGCAGAAGCTACTTCCGATGCACCCACAAGAGCTTCTACGGGTGCGATGCAAAGAAACAAGTCCAGAGGCTCGATGAAGACCCTTACACGTACGAGGTCACCTACTGCGGTGATCACACGTGCCACACCTCCACAACTCCTCTCGTTCTTCCGTCATTGCTCACCAACAACGATCCCCAGCCTCAAACCTCAGCATTGATGTTCGACGCAATTGCACAAATACCGCAAGTACCCCCATCCACCTCTATTCAGCTCGGCAGCACTTGGTTCGATGCCGGCAGGGATGAAGCCGGAGCGGGCCAGGTGGTGGGCCCGTCAGAGTGCCCCGTGGCGGATTTGGCGGATGTTATGTTTAATTCAGGGAGTAGTGGGAGCAGCATGGATGCCATTTTTTCATTGAGGCAGCAACATGATCAGAGTTGGCCCAAGGATAACGAGGAGTAGATGGGATTAATTAGTTAATTGATGCTTAGAAGGCTAATAGCATTCATCTGGATTATAACTTTGTTGACGACAGCTATCAAAAGAATTTTTTTTTTTTGACAACATTAGAGAGATGATTCAATTCTTTTTTTGTAGAAAATTTACGGAATTTCATTTTGTAAAAGAAAACTCAGATGTATCTAACTTAATGTCATTGAGATTATTTAAAATTGAGTTTTCAGAGGAGATATCACTTTCTAAATGGCTAAATTATCAAATTGGTATTTTTTTCACTTACTAGTTTGGTATTTTTTTTTCTTCTAACTCCGACAATGTTTTGATGGTAAAACTCAATCTTTGATACTAATTAGACCCATTTCATCACGGCCGGTGAATTTGAACCAATAAAAAACTCGATGCATTAGTGAGTAGTTGACATGGCAGGGATCATGTAATTTTCACATGCTTTTCTCCTTCCTCTATTTAAACTTGGAGCTAAATTCAAATTATGGTTTACATTCAAAATTTCTCCTTTTCAATCTCATCTTCAAAATGAGGATAATCTTCAAAATAGGGGAAGAACCATTATGTCCTCTTCAAAGTCCAGCTCAAAGAGATTTGAATTGCATGTAAGAATTGAGCATGATTTCAATAGTTTCACATAAATTCTAATTCATAAAACCTATCCAAAATTATCTCCAAAAGATAGATTTTCATTCAATTAAATCTTGTAATCAAAAAAAAAAAAAAAAAAAAACCTCAAAAGTTGTAAAATTGAGTGAGTTTGACAATCTTAGGGTTCATTAACATTAATCTCAGCCACATCATTTAATCCATGCCCAAAAATTGATTATGTGAGATCACATGGTATTTAACCATCAATTTCATCATCGACGGCTCATCGAAGGTTAAGTTTTAGTACCAAAATATCGCCAGAGTTAGAAAAGAACAATACTAAACGGGTAAAAGGGTGTTAAAAAATTATCAATTCGGTTATTTAGCCCTTTCTAAATTATTATCCTAGATCTATTAGTACATGTCAAGACAAATCATGCTTCTTTGATCTAACTGTAATTACTGTAGGGGAAACTTGGATTTTTCCAAGTGAATTTTTGGGCAAATTGAGCTAAACTTTTTGGTGAGTCTCACTGTCCAAAATGGATGAGAGTGAGTTTGAACGGGTTCTTCATTCAAGGCAAAGAATTCGGTATACTCATTTGTCCAAATCGGTTTCCGAATGAATGAGATATTCAAGTGAGAAGATGGACCAAAATCAAAGTTTAATGGGCGCATCTAATCACGAAGAGTCGCAACTGTTCGGTTGAGTTGTGTCTGTTCGAACCCGAACAATCACTTCTTTTTATTCCGAATGGGTGCGTCCTTTGGTAACGGGATGTCTTCAAAAGACACCTAGTCCCTATAAAAGGAACCCAAAATCTCATTCCCAAAATACTCAACGTTGAATCAAATCCAGTGTGTTTAAGAGAGATCTGAATTTTGTGTTCGTTCTTCTTCCATTCGTTTTCCTTTCTAGTCAAGTAGTGGAAGGCACGGTTAGCTTTGGTTCGCTAGTACAACTTTGCAGAAGTGCTTCTCCGAAACTGTGAAGGGGTGTTGTATCTTGAGAGACAATGTTCAATCATTCTGTAAGCACCATAGCAGGGGACGTAATTTATCTTAAGGAGATTCGTCACTTGACGTATCTCACTCCAATAATTCTAGTTATTTCTCTCTCCTACAAAAAGTGCTTTTCCTAACTATTCTTTTTTGGAATATTTTATTCAATTTGATTTTGGTTATTGATTTAATACTAAATTATTTACTACGATTCTAACAATCTTAAGACAAATTATATTTTTTTCATCCGGTTATATTCAGTAATTATTTATGTTTCTATCGAGATCTTGATCAGTGATATTTGATCTCTCTTAATCAAACAGGAGACCAATAATTTTATTTTAGTTACTAATTAATTTTGTGCAAGTGTAGAAAAATGTTTACCACTCAATGAGGTGGAAAATCAACTCACCAAAAAGATTAAGATTCTAAAATCCGATCGAGGAGGAGAATGTGAATCAATAGAGTTTGATGAGTTGTGTGCTAACTTTGGTATCATCCACCAAACCACAACACCTTATACACCTCAGCAAAATGAGATTGCTGAGAGGAAGAACAAACTTTGAAGGAGAAGGTCAATGCTATGCTTGTAAGTTCTAGAGCACCATA